AAAACATCACATCAGTTATCATTTGTTTAATCCAATTCAAGATGACCACGAAGCTCGAAATAACCGAGTCTTACGTCGACTCGAACAATGTTCTCTACGCTTTGGATCCGACGCTCCAGGTCCTTGAACTGAGTGTAGCTCCACCGCTGGAAACTATTCAAAACCGACGGAAAGCCATTCAACGACGCATCACGCGACTAGAACGACTGGTCAAGTTGGGACTTAAGGAGCGCATATCTATTGAAGAAGTGGAAAAAATAACAATGGAACTCATAGAGTTAGATGAATACGACCCAGGTGATCGCGAGAAAAGGAGCGTTGATTTTGATGCCAAAATTCTGTTCATACGGCAGTCTATTGGCTATCCAGCCCAAACCACTTCGCAGTCGAGAAACGGTAGCTCCTCCTCAAGAGCATCAACAGCTCACATGAATAACAATTCAGGACAAAAAAAGTACAACTGTGAAGAATGCGGCAAGTTCTTTTCAAAAATTTACAACAAACGAAGACACGTTGACATGTTTCACTCCAACAATACGGTACGAAAAGAAAAGGCTGAATTTAAGTGTTCATCTTGTGATAAGGTGTTCAACTCAATCTACAACAAAACTCGACATGAAAATGTTCACAAGCCTATCAATGAGAGATTAAAGTACAAGTGCTTAATTAATGACTGCAACAAAAGCTTTACCACGCAGTTCATTTTGAAAATGCACATTAAAAAAGTGCATCAAATGGTTGTCAGATTCTAAGTAATAAATCTTCAAAGTTTAGGCGTCATTCTCATTTGTATTTTAAACTCATTTGCATACTGGAACTTTATATTTCAAAATATCTTATCTTAAATCTCTAATAAAACTTTCACTCAATTGAACTTTATAACCGTTGGTACTCTTGCATAAACTTCGAGGTGATCAGAGTTGTACCGTTGTACGGGTAACGACATACATGAATCTGCAAGATAATGTTGCCAGCAGCTGATTTCTCTTTGATTTCATCACGTGCTGTCCTCGAGGTTTGCTGTTGTTTTGAAGTCTTCTTTTGGTGCTTTTGACTTTGAATTTTTCAACACCACAACTTGCTAGTTTTATTATCATACTTCCAACCTCATCGATGGCTCATAACATGACGCGACCACATTTGCTTCAAAAGCTCTCTCGGTGCATCCTTCAAGCTCGGTCTTCTACTCTCAAGACCGATTCTCGGTTTTTGCACAGTAAAGTTATTCAGCCTCGGTACCTGCACTCACTCAACCAGCAAGCTGCAGTCCAATCGACGAATCAAAGCCCGCCCATACTTAATGTACCTGAGACAAAAGTCTCCACACTTCAAAACGGAATACGGGTAGTGACTGAAAATTCCGGCATTCCAACTTGTACGGTTGGCCTGTGGATCGATGCCGGCAGTCGATATGAGAATACTCAGAATAACGGCGTGGCGCACTTTCTGGAGCACATGGCCTTCAAGGGCACTAAACACAGGACACAGATGCAACTAGAGATGGAGATTGAAAATATGGGCGCACACTTGAATGCGTACACATCGCGAGAGCAGACTGTTTACTACGCAAAGTGTCTTCAAGATGACATTGGTCACTCGCTGGAGATTCTTGCAGATATACTTCAGCGCTCAAAGTTTGGAAAGGATGAAATTGAACGTGAACGAAGCGTCATTTTGCGGGAGATGCAGGAAGTGGAGACAAACCTTCAAGAAGTTGTTTTTGATCATCTTCACGACGTTGCCTTTAAGGACACACCCCTGGGCATGACCATTCTTGGACCAGTGCAAAATATTCAAAAGATTAACCGAACTGATTTGATAAACTACATCAGCACTCACTACAAAGGACCTCGAATTGTTGTTGCCGGCGCTGGCGGCACAAACCACGAGCAGATTACCGAACTAGTCAACACCAACTTTGGTGGCATTGATTCCGATACTTCGAGTATCAACATTGAGCCCTATCGATACCAGGGTGGCGACATTCGTCTCAATGATGAATCCATGTCTCTTGTGTACGGTGCCCTGGCAATTGAGGCGGCCGGTTGGACGAACTCCGACAACATTGTGCTGATGATTGCCAACACACTTATCGGCTCCTGGGATCGATCTCTGGGCGGAGGCTTCAACAGTTTTAGCTACCTCTCTCAGGTTTCTCTTGAAAAGAACCTGTGCAATAGCTTTCAGTCTTTCAACACCTGCTACAAGGACACTGGCCTGTGGGGCATCTACTTTATCGGTGAGAAGGGCAAACTGAACGACTTTATCAACCATCTCGTCGAGCAGTGGCAAATTCTCTGCTCCACCGTCACTGTCGGCGAACTCGAACGTGCTCGTAATTTGCTGAAAACCAACATGCTGCTGCAGCTGGACGGCTCCACTCAGATCTGCGAGGACATTGGCCGTCAGATGCTCTGCTACGGTCGCCGAATTCCTCTCACTGAAATTGAAGCTCGAATCGACTCGATTGACTTGGATTACTTTAAAACAGTCTGCCAGCGCTACATTCGCAGCCGCGATCCGGTCCTAGCCGTTGTTGGGCCGACGGACTCGATTCTCACCTACGATCAGATCAAGTCTCGCATGCACTGGTAGCCCCCTCTCATCCAATCATTAATGAACTTAATTGTCCACTCTTGTCTAATACTAATTCTTTTGTCTATTTTTGTTCCCAAGCGGGGATCTCTCATTNTTGCGTGTACCATCCGCCCTTTGCAAGCCATTTGAATGAACCATATTGCTTTGTATAGTTTTCCAAACTCTCTTTTGTTACTGTAGTACGAATTTCATTCAGTAGTCACTTTTTAATTATTAATCAAACTCTGTTACAATTTGCATTGATCAATAATTCAGCTCATTGTGAAATTGGGCGAATGTGAGCACAGCAAAGTGAATGTGTGTGTGAGTGAGTGCGTCCTTGATCGCAGTTTCACTTTAGAATGACCCTAAATATTTGCTCTGCTGTCACTGGACAAACAGCAGGGCGATCAACAATTATTGACACTTTTGGCCGATGGGCGACTGGATGGAAGTCAAGCTGCTGCCAACGCTTTTTCACTCACATGCTTCTGCTTCGAGGCAATGTCAGCCAGAATGTTTGCACCAGTGCACCAGCAAATATCATCTGTCGAACAGTGGCAGTCCTGTCAGCTGTCAATCGGAGCATCGGAGACGAAATTGTTTTTCCCAAATATCTGAAGAGAGAAAAATTGAAAATGACACTGACCATTGGCTTGCTAATTCGGGGCTTTGTGCATCCGGCCTAAGCAGGAGAAGACAGTGGGGAGTAAGCGAATGTTGCTAATTATTCCGGTTGATGGGCAATAAACAAATTAATTGCCCAGTAATTGCCTTCCTTCATTCAAATGGCACTGACCGTCAGAAGCAGAAAGAGCGGATGGCACGTAGTTCGACGTGCCAAGTTTCAATGACTGCCATGGTCGGGCAGCAGCAGAAAAAAAGTTAGCCTAACACGAGCTCTGCCACTAATCCAATCAGTGGACACTGACTGTCGAATTGGTCTTATTCTTCTGGCTAAGGTGCAAAAANGTTAGCCTAACACGAGCTCTGCCACTAATCCAATCAGTGGACACTGACTGCCGAATTGGTCTTATTCTTCTGGCTAAGGTGCAAATGCGATTAGGAGAGAATGGTAATGGCGACGTAATAGCGTTAGTCTGTTTCGCTTTGCTCCAAAGCTGACAAGAGTCCACTCCGAGAGCGACACTTATCTGTAGTTTGAAGAGCAATTTCAGACAGAAGCATCTTCTGGGCGAATCTTCTGCTTTGGCGGTGCACTGGTTAACTTGTGGCATTAGCCTGATAATTGCCTGTCTTTTCTGCGTTCTGCACTCAGTGGAGTTCAGTGCTGCTGTGCCTTCCTGGCACTGTCCACTGACCGCCCATTGCTATATAGATTGCCCGTATTGAGACTGCTC